TTTATTAGTATTTAAATAATCAAATATCATATGGATGACAATTTAAACTTATTGCATAGAATATCCTAGCATTTAATCAAGTGATTAACTCAAGAACACATTAATTACTGGCAACAATAAGTTTTTTTTGAAAAAAAAAAAATTATGTGTTAAAAATAATATAGAATTAGTCACATACTTTGCTTTATTTAGTCTTATGGTCTTTTCTATTTTCAATTATCTGAATTGATTGTCTTTATCACATGGTTAGTGGGTAAGTTGTAGATATTTTAGGAATTCATTTATCACGAATATCGAGTTGCTCAATTAGTGGAATTGATTATAGCTCTTGTGTATAAATTTGTTGGCTGGAAATAATAAAATAGAATCAGATCTTCAGCATTTTTTATTTTTGCCCATAACCTATTTGATTAAAGTCATGAGTGAATTTTTTTATTTGTTGTTTTTCTTTTCTTTATTTTGCAGTCAAATAGAGAAATTCCTTTTTAATTTATAACCATTTTAAAGTTAACATAGGTATCATAGCAAAGTTATAAAGGATATGACAAATAACTCTACTGGTGTAAGTTCAACTCTTCCCTCACTACCATTATTCAAAGGAAATTACTATAAAGCATAGAGCATAAAAATGAAGACTCTCTTCATTTCTCATGATTGGTTGGAGCTGGTTGAGAATGGCTATAATAAAATAGATGTTTCAACTAAAGTTCTTAAAGAATTTAAGAAGAAAGATGTTAAAGCTCTCTTTTTTATTCAGATTAATGATAACATCTTTTTATGAATTACAATTGCAGTGAAGTCACAAGACACATAGACAAAGATGCATTTCACACAAAGATGCATTTTTCTAAAATAAATCATAATGACAAATAAGGGCGAAAAAACTATGTTGGCCATGGACGAAGAGGAGGTAAAGGCGGTCCAGGTGGTGGATATGGCAGCTATAATCACAACAAAGATATTGGGAACAATGGTAAAGCTCAAAATCAAAATCACAATTTTTTATTACAAAAAATTTGGTCACATTGCAGAGTTTTGTCAACTCAAAACTGAATATGCAAAATTTACCGAAGAGAATGGTAAAAGAATATAAGACTGAAAGCTTGTTTTTTACTTTTGTTACTAGAAATGAATGCTTATCAAATATATGGTACGTGGACAATGGCTGCAATAATCATATGACATCAAATTTGAATGTTTTCATCAATTTAGATAAGACAATCAATAAGCGGGTGAAAATGGAAGATGGTATGGTTCATGATACATATGGAAAAAGGGATTGTCAGGGTAATTTTAATTGTTTCAACTGTATTAAAGATGTTTTTTATGTACCTGATCTGGATTCAATCTTATTGAGTGTGGGGTAATTACTAAGAGAATGGTATACACTTATTTTTGAGGATATATCGTGCTTTTTTTTTTAATAAAACTAATAAGCACATGATGTTCAAGATACCTATAACTGATAACAACATGTTTCCTCTCTCTTTAGAATGCAAAAATCAAGCATTGCAGTCTCCTTGAATGACAATGGCTCGTAATAACACCACATGTGTGGGCATTTAAACTTTAATAACTTAAAATATTTGTTTAATCAAGCTTTGCTCGATTGTTTACCTGTGATTCAACATGTGAATGACATATGTGAAAGTTGTATGTTTGAAAACTGTAGTATTTTTACGTAGGAAATTACTGCATGCAAAAGCTATTTACGTAGCTTTTATAGAGAGAGAAAGTAAGAGAGAGAGGGGACACCGAAACAGAGTGCAACCCTGCAAATGCCTCTGTTTCGTGCTTAAATGATTTTTGAAGAAGGCAATGGAGGAAAGGGTCTACAATTTTAATTTATATTTGCATGGTTTAAATAAGCCAGTTTACAACCATAAATCTCATTTTCCCGTGCAAGTGATAGGTTTGCAATTGAATTCAAATTCTACCCTATTCAATTACAATTAAATTCAAAAATTGAAATTTAAAATTCAAATACAATCTGATAAGAATAAATTTTAACTGATTCTTAATAATCTAACAAAAACAACATTGAGATGTATTTCTAAAAAGATTGGCAAGGAGAGCATCAAATCCCATTGAGCTAGTTCATGCTGATTTATTCGGGCATATGAGAATTCTTTCACTAAATAACAGTTTATATATAGAAAAGCCTGTCACCTTGTTTATTTTTAAAAAGTTTAAAAATTATGTTAATAAACAAAATATACTTTGAAGATTCTCATAATTGATCGCAAAGGTGAATTTATTTCAGCTAAGTTTAATGACTTTTGTGAAGATTGTGGCATTAAAAGACAATTGACAGCTAGTTACATACCAACAAAATAGTGTGGCGGAGCGAAAGAATAGAAATCTAATGGAAATAGCAAAGTGCATACTAAGTGCAAAAGCTCTTCCAAGATGTTTTTGGACTGAAGTTGTTCATATAGTTGCTTATCTTCTCAATCGGAGTCCTACATCGAGCTTGCAAAATCAAACACCTTTTGAAGCTTGGAATGGGTGGAACCAAAGATAACTCACTTCTAAATCTTTGGTTATATTTCTTGTGTTCACATTCCTTCTCAAAAATGACACAAACTTGATGAAAATAATGTCAAATACATATTTGTGGGCTACAATGGTAAAATAAAATGGTATTATTTTTATGATCCTATTATTAAAAAACTAATTATTAGTTGTGATGCTATGTTTGATGAGAAAAATAAGTGAAATTGGGATGAGAAACAGGGCTATCCAGAATTACTTGAAGTTGGTAATGATGTTTGTAATACTTCAGCAACTTCACGAATGGTAATGGGGATGCTTCAAACTCTTCTATCCATCTACGCTACTAGCCCGTTAACAACTACATCTCAAGTTAAGCTCAAGTGATACACCTCCAAAGAAGTAGGGATCTTAAAAGAGATTTATCAAATAACTGAATGTTGCCAAATTGCACAGATTTAAGAACGTAATTGCTTCAAAGATGCTGCAAGCTCGAAAGAACGATGTGATGCTATAGATGAAGAAATGAAGGCCTAGGAACGAAACAAAACATGGCAACTTGTTGAATTACCTAAAGGTAAAGAATTAGTTGGATTAAAATATATTTATAAATTAAAGTACAAACCTGATGGCTCAATTCAAAAGTATAAAACATAGTTGGTTGCTCGTGGTTACATGCAACGTGAAGGTATTAACTTTGAAGAGATGTTTGCACTGACGGAAAGATTTGACACCATAAGAGTTGTTCTATCTATAGTTGCACATTACAAGTGGAGTGTTTATCAATTTGATGTCAAATCAATCTTCTTAAATGGTTTCTTGGATGGGGATGTCTATGTAGAGCAATAGCCAGGTTATGAAGTGAAAGGGTAAGAGACAAAGGCGTGCAAATTGAAAAAGGCTTTGTATGGCCTTAAATAAGCTCCAAGGGCCTGATATGCGAGGATTAATGGACATTTCAATAGTAATGATTTTCAAAGAAGTACTAGTGAACCTACCTTATATGTGAAAATAAGAGGAGTTGATGAGATACTTATTGTTTGCTTTTTTATCAATGATTTAATCTATACTACTAATAGTCCTGCATTGTTGGCTTATTTTGAAAAGTTTATGATTGAAGAATTTGATATGAATGATTTGGTTTGATGAACTACTTTTTGGGACTACAAATACATCAAAGTGAGTTAGGAATTTTTTATTTGTCAATAAAATTATGCAAATGATCTTCTTAGCAAGTTTAAGTTGCAAGATTTCAATCCGGTGAAAACTCTAATAGCAACTAATTAAAAGTTTAGCTCTAAGGATGGAGAAGAACAAGTTAATGCACATGTTTATCGAAGCTTAGTAGGCAGCCTACTCTATCTCACTAACGCTCTGTCGAACATCTTGCGAGCTACTAGCCTTTTGTCCAGGTTTATGCAAAAACCAAGCAGGATATATTATGGGGCAGCAAAAAGAATATTAAGATACCTTAAAAAAACAACTTCATATGATTTATTTTATAACATCGATAATTTGAACTTACATGGATATTCAAATAGTGATTGGACATATTGTGTTGATGATCACAAAAGTACCATAGGATATATTTTTAATTTGTGATCAAGTGTCATATTTTGGAATTCAAAGAAGTAAACATCTACAACTTTATCATCATTGGAGGCTGAATACATAGTTGTAACTTCAGTAGCTTGTTAAACAGTATGGTTGCAAAGAAATTTAGAAGACATAAAGTAAAAGAAATAGGCAACTATGATTTATTGTGACAATTAGTCTACCATTGCCATGACAAAGAATCTTATTTATCATAGTGGTACAAGACATATTGAGATTGAACATCATTTTATTAGAAAATTTATGGTAAAAGGAAGCATTCAGATTGCATACGGCAGTAAAAATGACCAGTTAGTTGATATGTTTACAAATTTTTTTTTTTTTTGTAAAATTTAAATATTTTAAACAAATGATTGATTTTGTAAATTTCTGCATTATATGAGAGTATTAAAAATAATGCAGAATTAGTCACATACTCTTTTTTATTTTTAATTATCTGAATTAATTGTCCGACTCTTATGGTTTGAGAATAAGTTGTAGATATTTTACAGATTGTTTATCATGGCTATCTAGTTACTCAATTAGTGGGATTATGGTTATAACTCATATATATATAATTGTTAGCTGAGAATAATAAAGTAGAATTTCTTCAGCATTTCTTTTTTCTGTCTATAACTTATTTGATAAAAGTTCTAACTAAATTTTCCGATTTGTTGATCTGCCTATTTTGATTTTGCAATCAAGTAAAAGTTCTTTTTTAATTTATAACCAGTTTAAAGTTAACAATGTGTTAATGTATGCAATGTACTGTAACAAAACAAGTAAAAATAGGTTGGTTCGTTTTCAATTATTTCCAACATTATGTGCATGAAAATTAGTTATAAACAACGCATTTTCTCCTGAAGCATGCAGATAAATATTGCAGGTGCAAAATAAAAAACAAAAACCAAGTTTACCAAATAAATAAATAAATAAAAACAAGGAAGTAAAGCAAGCAAAGATTCATACATAAAAAAACAACTAACAATTTGTAAATGGGAGCAACCTCTTTGAGCAAGTAATGGTTTTACACGTAGAAAAACATTTCGTGTGTGTGTTAGCAGAGCGGAAATGGAGGAAGAAAGAGTAGTTACAGAGATATTGTCTGACAGTTGTCAAGGATATGGGGTTTGAAAAATGTACAGCTGGGTACGTGGCATTCATGTCCTAGGGTTCAAACACACGGTGGTTTATGGAGACGACACAGGAGCTTATCTTAATATTCCTGCAACAAAAAGAATTCACGTGTCATATCTGCATGCGGTCGGTGATGGTTATAGTAAAAGGAATTACACCGCATTTTCACCTAAATCTCCCTGAATAGTTTCTTTTTCTCTCACTACGAATTGCTCACTTTTCTTTTCTTTCAACCAAAATGAAGGTTGCTTCTTCTTCTTCTGTTATGATTTTCTTTGAAAACATTGTTTCACGAGGTTGCTTTTGTTGTGATATAATTACTTCTTTCTCTGTTATGGATTAATTTTGAGCGCAATTACGCGCACGCACACACACACACACAAAGAAGTTGTTTAATTCACTTTTATATTATATGTACTTTGAAGGTGCATGAAACAAGGTCTCATGCTCATGCATCTGGTGATGAGGAGAAAGCTGGCGTGACAAGAAAGCACAAGGCAGACACCAGAGGACATGAGGCAGAGCAATCGCCGAAGAAGACGAAGCCGGAACAACGCGAGAAAAGCCACGCAGATAGCAAGTTTGCAAATGCAGAGTTTAGTGAATTCGGTAAAGCTATAAAAGATCACTTATCTGTACAGCAAATGAAAGAAATTCTTGAAGCCAATGCTCAAGAAACTCCTGCTTCTGCTGATGAGGTTGTTGAGAGATGGTTAGTGATTTTTCATTTCGCCTTCTCTGTAAATTTGGGTTTTCTAAGTAGACCCATTTTGTCTACAGATGAAAACTCAATTGGGTTTAGACCAAATACTACTGGGTAAATTTCTATATAAAGTTTCATATATCTTAACAAATGGTAATATAACTCTGTGCGTATAGCCAAGACTTGCTGTTGTACGGACCCTTGGATAATTGTCCAGTTTGCAACCACAATTTGCATTTTGATGGGAACCGCTTTTTCTGCAAAGGAGCATATAGTGAATGGTCTACTTGCACTTTCAGCACAAAAGATCCTCCAAGAAAACAAGAACCAACCAAGCTACCACCTTCTGTTCTTGACTCACCTGTTTCAGATGTAAATTTTTTTTTCTTGTTTATTTTTCTTCATGTCAGTCATGTCTGGAGTAATCCAACTATAGTGTTGGTTTTTTATTAGATGATAAAGAAGTACGGGGACCCAAGTCGGCGACCTAAGAAAGAAGTAGGTTCTCCAGATAAACCTTTCACAGGGATGATGATTTCGCTCATGGGTCGTCTTACTCGGACACATGTATGTAGTCATTTCATTGATCTAGATCCTTCATTTGTGTTCTTGAGAATTGATGTTGTGTATTTATTTGATTTTATTAATGCCAGCAATATTGGAGATCCAAGATTGAAAGACATGGAGGGAAGGTTGCTAACTCCATTCTTGGTAATTTCTTTTCTTTTCAAAATGAAAAAAAATTATATACTGCCTTTTCGGTTTACTGCTTAATCATAACACCCTTGTATAATTGAATCAACGATCATGCCAAGTTATAGAAATGATCTAATCAATCAAGTGTTTATATTCTAATCCTAAACCATAATTCTAATAGGGATCACCAGCAAACCCAAAAGTCAAGTTAGCAGGCAGAAAGCTGGATTAACCAGCGAAACCTTGCTGCAAAAAGTCAGCAATTTGAATACTAGCTCTTTTTTCTCTAGTACCATTTTAAGTTAAATACTATTCGAAGTAGTTAATTGAACCGATTATAAAGATCAAGCAGAAAATAATTGAATGAATTGATTATAAAAGCTGATTGAGCTGACATAAAATGGTAGAATGAATTGGTAGACTCTTTTTCAAAATTCCTTTTATGTGCAGGAGCTACATGCTTGGTTGCATCAGCTATGGAGAGAGAGCGCGGTGGCTCTTCAAAATTAATAGAAGCAATGTGAGTTGAAATATATTTTTTCTTTGTGAAATATCTACATGCTTAATGTATTTAGAGTTTTTCTTTTTCTTTTTCTTTTTCCAGGGAAAGAGGCATACCTGTTGTGTCTGAGGCTTGGTTGGCTGATAGCATTGACAAACATGAAGCACAACCTATGGATGCTTATGATATTGTATCTGATCTCACAGTCTATGGAAAAGAAGCCCCACCGGATACAGAAGAGATCATAGAGGAGGCAATTATGCTCTTTTTCATCATAGTTTTGTTAAGAAATGACACAAATGTCAAAAGAAATAAGGGTCATTTTCTTGATTTCTGGTTTCAGCTCAAGCTGTATGGTAAGAGAGGAGTCCATAAAGATTCTAGACTTCAGGAACGAGGTGGAAAGATATTCGAAAAAGATGGAATTCTGTACAATTGTGCCTTTACACTTTGTGATCTTGGACAAGGACTCAAGGAGTAATATAGAGCTATTCCAGTGTTAATTTTTTCAGTTGAATGATCTGTGATGCTTAAAACATTCAATTTCAATCATGCAGCTATTGCATTTCGCAACTCATCTCAGTACCAGAGAGTAACTTGCATCTGTATTACAAGAAAGGGAGGATAGGGGATGATGAAAATACCGAAGAGAGGGTGGAAGAATGGGAAAATGAGGAAAATGCCATTAAGGAGTTTGTGAGAATTTTTGAGGAAACGACTGGGAATGAGAATGAGTTTGAGCCATGGGAAAGGGAGAAGAAAATTCAAAAGATACCTTTGAAATTTTTTCCAGTAGATATGGTATGAGCTCCCTGCATTCTTTAAATGAGACCATTGAATTATATAATGTTAATTAGTGAAGATACTTAATAGGATGATGGAGTTGAAGTTAGACAAGGAGGCCTTGCTCTTAGGCAACTCTCGATTGCGGTTACTCACTGCAAACTTGAACCACGTGTGGCAAGGTTTATGCAACTCTTGTGCAGTAAAGATATCTACGAGTACGCCCCACGGAATACTTTGCTTTTCTTTTGTTCCTTCTATCTCGATTGTTATGTTCTGGGTTGTGTTTTTTTAGGCCTTGTGTTTTGAACAGATCAGCTCTGCTGGAGATGGCATTAGACTCTCCTGATATACCAATAGGAATGGTTACCAGTCTCCATCTAAAGAGATGTAAGAGATGTTATATAAAATGAAATAGGATTAATGTTGCCCCCCTCAGATTTTCTACTAACAGTATGGTATATTCAGGTGAGGATGTCCTCCTCGAGTTCATAGAAAAAATGAAATCGATGAAAGAGACAGGGTTAAAGGCTGAAGCTATTTGGTCAGATTTTAGCCAAAGATGGTTCACACTTATGTACTCTAGCAGACCATTCATCTTCAGAGACTATCAAGAACTTGCTGATCACGTAAAAAAAGCTGAAGCCATCTGTCTCTTATGCATGGAGTAAATTCGTCTTAGTTTTGATCATTCTTAGCATCAATCTGCAGGCTGCAGCTGTGTTTGAAGCTGTTCGAGATGTAACTGTGGCGTCACACCTGATAGGGGACATGAGCGGTGCTACCCTGGACGATCCACTGTCTGATCGATACAAGAAGCTTGGATGTTCAGTTTCTCCATTGGAAGAAGACACAGATGACTACAAAATGATTGTCAATTACTTGCAGAAAACATATGAACCTGTTAAACTTGCAGACATTGTAAGGCCTAAATCATTTTATAATATATCCGGCTGAATTTTGGTTCTACTTACATTTCAACTGTTGTTTCTCAGGAGTACGATGTGTTGGTCGATAACATTTTTTCGGTTGAATCAAATGCCAGTCCTTCACTGGATGAGATGAAGAAATTGCCAAACAAAGTTCTGTTATGGTGTGGTAAGGTCTAATATCCCACTGTCCTCCATGGAATATATTTCATCAGTGCTCTTACTCTACCTGCCAATCTCCTTCAAGGTACTCGGAGCTCGAACCTCTTAAGGCACCTTCATAAGGGATTCTTACCCGCAGTCTGCTCCCTTCCGGTTCCTGGCTATATGGTAATGTAACAAATTTTCGTTTATAAAATTTCTCACTGCATCAAAGGCTACAACCTTGTTATTTTGCAGTTTGGAAAGGCAATTATATGCTCGGATGCTGCTGCAGAGGCTGCTAGATATGGCTTTACCGCGGTAGATAGGGTAGATGGATTCCTGGTCTTGGCTGTGGTTTCTCTTGGTGATCAAGTCACCGAGTTTAATAGTCCACCCAAGGTATGACATTTGGTTAATTACTTAGTGATACTCCTGTCAATTTTTCTTTTAACTTTATGTTTGCTGCTTATAAATTAGGATACAAAATCACTTGAGGAGAAGAAGCTTGGTGTGAAGGGATTGGGAAGGAAAAAAACGGATGAATCGGAACATTGTGCATGGAAAGACGACATCAAGGTTCCGTGTGGCCGATTGATTCCCTCCGACCACAAAAACAGTCCTCTCGAGTACAATGAGTATGCCGTTTATGATCCGAAGCAGGTATTAACAATTTTGCAAACGCCTTTTTGTTACCATTAAGTTGTTGGTTCGAATCGATGTTACAATGTTTTTTTCCTTGGGAATTACAGGTGAGCATAAGGTTTTTGGTTGGAGTGAGATTTGAAGAAAAGGAAGGGAGAATGGGAGAAGCTAAATGAAATGTTTGGTGGAGGAGTAGTGAGTGTAATGCATTGCCTTCACAGTTGGTGGCAATTTGATGAATGGGGCTTCTTGCTTTTTTTTTTCTTTGGTTGTATAGGGAAATCATCTCAGAAATTTCCATAGACAGGAAGTCTTTGTATATATGTATATAAATGTGTGACCTTCCAGCTTTTTGGTTTCCTATTTTGAGCATTTTCGTTTGCTGGAGCAGTTGATGTGTTACTAGTTTTAAACTATACCTTAAGATTTATGTATATATGGATGTAGATATATGTGGAGGCTCTCATGGGTAAATTCTCAACAAGGGAGAGAGGAAAGGGAAAAGCTGGTACAAATATGGTTTCCCTTACAAGTCCCTGCGAGAAGGAAATTTCTTTCCTGTTTTTGAATCGTTTCAAATCTTAGCTACTAACTGGTTCTAAGTTAACTTGCAATAATCAGACATTCAATTACATCTTATTTTTAGATTCTTTTATTAATTTGAATAGTTCAAAGTTGATTTGATCTGTAATTTTATTAATATAGTTTATGTAAAACTCTATTCGAAGAATTAAATACAATATAGTTATTTGAATTGTATTACATTGATATAAATATGATTTTAAACCATCTAAGAAATTAAAACATAATACAGGCAGGTTATGTGAATTTTATTGTGTTTGAAATCTATTATAATAAGATGGTGAACTTTTTTTAAACTGACTGAAATTACAACTTATTTGTATCATTATATAAATTACGTAAGATTGTACTTTTTAACTTATTTTGCATGTTCCATGAGCATTCTATATTTTAAATTTATGTGCCAAACAAATCTCTTATCATCCTCACGATGTCTGCAGGAAAACAAGGAATCTAAATATTTATACACAGGAAGATTACAAACATAGTTTATGTAAACCTTATTTATATGTACTCGTTAAATTGATTATGTCCAGCAATGAAGAAGAAATCTAATGGGGAACAATAATGACATAGCAAATTTAACAGAACAAGAACTTGATAATTTCAATACATTTGCATAGGTGGAAAGAAAATCTATATACATTTACTGCATAGCTCGTGATTCGTTAACTCCACCTGTTGAATTAAAACACTGTTTTAGTATGCATACGGGGGGGGGGGGGGGATCTATTGTGTCTGTTTATGTTTAAAAGATTTGGCTGGATATGGAAACTACAGAACACGATGAACAAGTAGAAGTAGATGAAGATGAAGACGAAGACGAAGACTCCAATACAAAGATAAGAACCAGATGACTGAAGAAGTAAAGAAGACGAACTTCTGAAGAAGCCGAATTAAGAGAATATACAGAAAATAGAGAAGAGAATGAAAGAACAAAATGAAGAGTCCAATACCAGAACACCTCAAACCTGCCTGCACAATTAGTAGAAGATTTTTGATTGACCTTTCTTTTTTCTTTTGCTAATCGAAACTTCTCTTGCCCATGGTTGATGACTCTTGTTAAAATATTATGTTTTAGTTTAATAAACATCAACACTATTTAGATTATTTTTCTACAGGGTTTTTAGAATCTTCAAAATGCCTCGACATTAGAGGGTAAGAAAGGAAATAACTTTCTTAAAATTGCTACGCTCATTATTTCCTTTTCTTATTAGGTGGATAAACAATGGCCTAGAACTAGATGATAATGATGTGACAAAGGATCAGTAGCACACAAAAAATATGTATACTAAATATATAACATGAATTTAAAAAGAAGAAATGTTATTTTCAAACTCAACTCCAAATTTTTTGCTTTCATTTTCAACAACTACAATGTCTTGGTGTTAGAAAACAAATATGAATTACAAAATAAAAACTTTTAACAGTTTTCTACAACTAAACAGGGCTAAAGAAATTTAAAGCACTAAACAATAATATGATTAAGTAAAACTAAATCATTCTAATGTATAATGCATTCTGCATCAATGGACTTAAGTGAATTTTCAATCTAATAGTCAAATCAGATGCTCAACCAGACGCCCAGGATCGAGTTCAAGCAACATAAAGGTGTACTCAGTATTTTACATGTAAATCTTATAATACCATAACATACACCACACAGAACTTTTTCAAAGAAAATGAAAAAGAAGTTCAGTTCAATTCAAGTAAAGGCCCAAAGAATACTTTTAGTTCCAGCTTTACATTCTGTATTGCTTCAAACCATCTTTGATAGTACAAGGCTAGACAAGAAACAAATGCATCTAACAACTGGTGTTCCTTAAACTTTCTAGAGGAAGACTACAGGTACAACAAGCATACAGCAAGTTCAAGCAAAAATGTATAAGAAAAGATCTTCACGAATAAATTACCAGAGGAGGAATGTTGAACTTGTCAGAAATGAATGGCACAGCATGTCGGTTGCTCACCAAATCCCAGTAGAAGGCATATTCGGCCTCATAATCATGTAAAGTGAGCTCAGCCTTTTGATTGGTATGATAATGATGCTTAGCTGAAGCCAACTTCCCAAATCCAAACATGCTAACTTTGTCACAAATTCCCAAAGCTAGCATAACAGCTTGCATCCCAGAAGAGTAATGGAACATGGCGCCTTCATGACTAGATTCCCATTCGTCCAAGGACTTTCCTGTCTCCTCTGCAAACCGTTTCAAAGAGTAATACTTCACAATCCTAGCACATAACAAATCGAACCTTGGATCTGTGATAAGCAAAAGGCGCATCATGGGACAAATTGCAAACCGTATAATCCAAGAAATGCACTGGCTGGCAAATGTACATGATCATAGGCACATTCTTCCCATACGGGTGGCAAAAGCAACCTTCTCTCCTACCACACATATGCAATATATTGCTATTTACAAAAGAAAGACTAGTTTTTGAGCCCACATTTCGTTCAAATCTATCAGTTCTAGCATTGTTCAATCGAATTACCATTTCATGACTATCAATTAACCCTCCATATTCACTATTCAACAAAATCCCACTATTCCCCACCACGGCACATGACGAGTATCGCTGGTCCAGACCCTTTACCAGCCCATTGTGCCTATCAATGGGATGCTTCACTTGCCTAACTAAGTTCATCATTATATCAGGTTGAAATATTTTCTTTCGAGCCCAATCATGCAAATTCCTCCTAAAATCTAACCAGTACCGATAGAACTTCGGGGACCGAAGCATTACCTGTAAACCAGAAGAGGACTTAGCTCTTGGGTCATGGTGATTGAATCTTCTCCATGATGAGAAAGTCCGGTGCCGTCCCTGACTCGCTAAGCTCCCTTCCAGTAACTGTTCTATCTCTTGCTTCAACTTGGCTTCTCCTATGTCGACTGCCGCGTATTTCAGCAAAGTAGCATTGAAGACTGGTGCCGATAGCGGGACCAATACGTCCCCTTCCAGCTCAGACACGAAGCTGAAGCTCCGGAGAATGGCAATCCTGAAAACAAGCGTGGCGACGAAGACAACGAGCAGCAAAATGCTGAAGAAGGGTCGGAGCGATCGTTTCATTGGGGCGACGAAATGACCCGACCGGTTAATGAGTATTGCGAAATGTTGTTGGCAGAAATGAACTATACGGATCTTGAATGCATCAGGGTCGGTCTCAGATCCATCTTCAGCTTCCACGAGCTTTGGCATTCAAAAGAAAATGAGGAAACCGAGCACGACCCAGATCAATAATCTGTCAGTAAGTGGATTAACAACCGAAAAAAATCTACAATCTGATTTATGTTTGATTGAAAGAAAAAATCCGATACACAAAAGTCGAAAACGAAAACAAAGTGTTAAGAAAGTGTGTTGACAAGCTGCAAATCTAATTAAAAAAAGAGAGAGAGAGAGAGATGAAACAGAGGAGCAATTTAGCTGGGACTGAGTGGAAAAAGGCGAAGAGATGAAGTAGTGATGAGAAAAAAGAACAGAGCAGCGGTCAATGGGAAACCATAGAAGATGATGGAAAAGGGATTGTCTGCAGCGGAGCGGTAAACATCCTCAGTCCTGGTAGGTATGGTGGGATTATGGATGAAGAGCATGTGATCCGCTGGTCTTCGAGTGGAGCAGTGATCCGGGGAAGGAGACAAGTGGGCATTGTATATTCTGTGATCACGGATTTGAAGTGGTGGTAAAAGCCGGCAGGATTTAAATTAATAATTAAAATTAAAATATATCATAATTTTGTTATTATTGATAAGTAAAATCGATAATAATAAATTTCGAAAATTCAAATGATTATTTTTTCACATTGACGTTTTGATAAATATAACGAACAGCAATTATGAGCGTGTAGTGATTAACATAAATTTCATTCCAACAATTAAAAGTATAATATTTTCTTTAGTTTTTAATTTTTTTTATTATTCTGTCACTCTACCATATTTTCTTTTCTTTTTTTTTTTTTTTTAATAAAAAATTGTTGTTACTCCATGCTTGTAACTTTCTAAACAAATGTATATCTTGTTATCATTTGAATTTTGTACAATGCTCAAAAATCAATTATCTATATGTGACATTATATCATATTTGTAATACATTCGGTACTAAAATGAATGGACATGTAGCAAATTACAGAGAAAACATAAAAACGACTCATTTTCGTTTCTATTATTTTTCACAATCAATAGTGAGACAAAATTAAATAAAACAAAAAGAAAAAAAAAAAGTTTTCCTCCTTTGTTAATCATTTCATAAAAGGTAAATTTAACATTTACTCTTTTATGCTTTGTTGTTTGTCTCTCATTTTGTGTTATTTCCTAAAGAAATAATAGTTATTTCAGTAGTGTCCGATGATGTAGGTTAAGTTGGCCGAATCTCATTAAAATTTTAGTGTTCTCCTTTTTTTTTTTTTGCTTTATTTTATTATTTATCTAATGGTTATTATTAGGAATAGTTGTATTGACATATTGTATTAGTGAATCACAGTTCAATGTTGAATTTTGTGTAAGAAAATTAGGTTTTAAAGTGGGATTGTTTGTGACTCCTTTAATCTTTATTAGAATTTTTTTTTTTTTGTGGTTTTCTAATTTCATCATTCACTTGCTATTTAGTATCAAATATTTAACAAGTGACATTAAAGTCAAAAATTTTAGTATGCTTTATAATTATAACATAGTTCAATCTTTGACATTTAAAAAAAAAAAATTGGCATTCCATATTGATAACTACAAAAAAAAAAAATTAGAATTGAAATGATAGAGAGTAGGAAAATTATAAGATCGTTATGACAAATGTAAGGTTTGTGGTGGCGATTTTTTATGGCATTCGTCATTTGGTATATGGCAAAACGAGATTCTAGATGTTCTATTTCAACAAGGTGTAGATGTTGCTATTAAAAAAGAGCAACCAAAAATGATATATGAGATAATGTGAAAGACCATCAATTAGTTGGCATGTGATACAATTCGATCATGTTTGTCCAAAAAGCAAAAATATTTGTTCTATAAAGAAGCTTTGGAAAATTATTGTGCCTTAACTTCTTACTTTGTTGCGTGACAGAATTTTTGGCTTCAAGTTCTAATCTAAGAACCAACACCTTTTTGACAAGATCAAATGTAGTTAAAGCTTTGTCCCCAGTAACTTTGTTGGCATTATCGTTGCATACTGCATAGCTTTCTATGATCCCCATTCATATCTTTGTTGTTTCAATGGTGTTGGTATAATACTCGGGTTCAGAATTTGGCCTGAGATTAATTTTAACATTAAAAAAATATATAAAAATCTATTTTTGAAATTAATAAGTTTTAATTTAATGTGGAATTATGAAAAAAAATAGGTTGATGATGAAATTGAAAATAATTTTGAAAAAAAAAAGTGAAAATTTGGATTTGGATGGTATTTTTGAAAGAAAATCGAAAACTATAGGTCATAACGCAATTAAAAAAAAATTTATCACGTAGGATCACCCAGTCAATAGTCTCGACGAACTGGAGCACGCTGCGTGACAAGGCACATTGACTTGATGTCACGCGGGAGGCCACACTGACAATCCGCGTGCTCCGCGATCAGACGACCCAGAAGTGTTCCCGTGCGCGTGGACGGTCCAGATCCGTTCTCTCCTCAGGCACGATCGGACGATCGCGATCAAACGTGATGAAGGTTCAGATTCTTTCCATCTTTAAACGCGATCAGACAATCGAGATTAAATTGCGATGAACGATGCAAATTTATTTCTTCTTTAAACGCGATCAGATGGTCGAGATCAAACGCGATAAATGACCCAGATTAATGCGAGATGGGTATAAATATTTCACATCACACTGAACCCAAACCTTCGTCGTCAACCTTCCACTGGAGAAGAAGAACCAGTCCTCGGAGAAGGGAGCCAACCACCGACCCCCGTCGCACCAGAGTCACCTCTGACCGCCAAAAAAGGTAAAAATTCTCTTATCCGCTCAGAATTTGATTCCTTTGCACCCCTATGGCCAAATCAGACCCAAAAAAATAGTGGGTGAGTTGAAAACTGTGGGCGAAACCCGTAAGCACCTTCGATGAGCCCCTTTTTGTTTCCTGTTTCGTGCGATTTTTTCACTGTTGTGCTCACCATTCTAATTTCTATCGGTTGACTGAAGAAAACGTCTTGCTGCGAATGTGAGTCGGCAAAGTCGCTGCACTGAAAAATCACACCACTGGTAGGTTTCTATTTTTTTTTATTTTTTTGGGTCAACTGAGGCCCCCTAACATGTTTTCTCATAGGGATGAGTATAAAACTAGCCAAAAATGGCTAGGTTGAGGCAAACCGCCGCTGTGTGTGGCGATGCACAATGCTAAAACCCCAAAATTGGCCAAAAAAAGATTGTTAACACCGATTTTGAGTTTTTTGGGTATTTTTAGGTACGTGAAGCATGTTTTAATCTCTACAGAAAAATTCAGAAAACCTAAGAACCTCCAGCTAAAGAAGAAGAACCAGTCCTCGGAGAAGGGAGTCGACCGCCAACCACCGACTACCGTCGCACCAGAGCCACCTCCGACCGCCAAAAAAGGTAAAAATTCTCTTATCCGCTTTAAATTTGATTCTTTTGCACCTCTATGGTCAAATCGAAGCAAAAAAAATAGCAAGTGAGTCGAAAACTGCGGGCAAAACCTGCAATCACCTCCGATGAGGCCTTTCTCCCTTTTCATTTCATGCATTTTTCACCATGTATTCACCGTTCTATTTTCTATGGGTTGATCGAAGAAAAATGTCCTGCCGCGAAGGTGACCCAACAGAGCCGTTGCACCAAAAAATCCCACCACTGGTAGGTTTTTGTTTTTTATTTTTTTTGGGCCAACCGAGACCCCCTAACATGTTTTCTCGCAGGGATTTGTATAAAATTGGCCAAAAACGGCTAGGCCGAGGTAAACCGCCGTTCCGGGTGGCGATGCCACCGTGTCAGAACCCCAAAATTGGTCGAAAAAGGATTGTTAACATCGATTTTGAGTTTTTGGAGTATTTTTAGGTACGTGAAGCGTATTTTAATCTCTGCAGAAAAATTCAAGAAACTTGGAACCGCCAGTAGGCGTAGTAGAAAGTTTAGTGTTTCGAACACCGATTCTAGTAAAAATATCTCACATTATTCTCCATTATGGAATTGAAACTTAATAATCGATAATATGGTATTTGTATAATTTACAAAACTTTGAGAATAATTACAGATTAATAATGGAGCCGAAACCTATTAGTTATTTATTTATTTGTCATGTGTAACTGATTATTTCCTTTTACAGCTTCAAATACATGAGAATATACTGGAATGGTTAAATGATTCAGTTGTGCTTCCTTGATATATATTTATTGATTGTCTTGCATGATTTACGGTTAGTCTATGAAATTGAAAATTAATATGTAAATGGAAAATTACTTAGTTATGTGAATTAATGAGTTGTAGTCTTACTAGATATCTTTAGAGATAGTGGATGGATCGAATACATAGAGAACCCTACCGTGAACGTTGTCTTATACCAGACGGGGTATCGAGGAATGGTATTTTTGACGTTCATACCGGACGGGATATGGAGACGGCCCAATTCACCCTCATTCCAAACGGGGTGTTGAGAGATGATATTTTTGGCGCTCATACTGAACTATGGGGACGGCCAGTTAGTTGACAATGTTGGATATTGGTTCGCGCGTAGTGAGATATCCCTATGGACGCCCAGGAGTAGGCAAATAAAAAGGAAAAGTTGTTGTTATTGCTCACTTGAATATGATATTAGAATGTTATTGAGTTATTGTCACTATTGGTCGATTTTGAAAATTTCACAACAGTAAATATATTCAATAAATGGCTTTCTTTATGATAAATGAGTTTACTTAAATCAAGAGCTCCATCGGTTATTTTTATAATTTTTACCATCCTTCAATTTCTGTATTGGTAAGTAGTGTGATATTCTTACTAGGTTAGTACAGCTTACCCTTTCATTAATTATTTTATATCAAGAGGATCAAAACCTAGATTCTGATCAATAAGAGAGTTGTGAATAATTCACCACCCGGACTCCTTTCAAAAGTTAGTGAAGGTCATCCTAAAATACTCAGTATATTATTTTTTGTTTATTTCTTTGATTATCGTCTATTCTTTTAGAATGGACATTCTCGTAACCCTATTAGACATTCTAAATTATTGTGTAAAGAATGTAAACCCTACACTCTATTATTTCGATTCCGTATTTAATTTATGACTTTATTTTCTCTTAGGTTTCGGGCCTGTATATTTGGTATCAGAGTTACGTTTCTCGAAATCATTCCTTACACAAAGACTTAAAAACACCAAATACGAACTATCGTCAAACAATTTCTTGTGAAAAATAAGTACAAAGACACGAGGAGATGAGGTCCCTTATTGAATAGAGCAGCCTGAGACGGGTCACTTCGAGAGGATATTGATCGACTATTTGAAATTTTAGAGAGACTCACATCTGCCCAGTAGGCTAGGGAAGACATGAGGGAATTATCTGACCCTCTACCACTTTCATAATACGAGTCAGCCCTACAACGAGAGGATCTAACACTATCTCGGTGCAACCTTGCTCCTCCATCATATCATCTGATACTGTCACAATACAATTCGGAGCCCCTACTGTATCATCCAGCACCATTACAGGGCCACTTGGTCCCTCATCATCAACATCTAGCCCCTCTTCTACAGGACTCGGTTTCACCCATGGCGGACCTGATAGAGATTGACACGGGCGACCCTGAT